TGAGGACCAGCAAGTCAGAGGAAGAGTCCAGAAAGGAGGTCACGGAGCTCTGCCGGTACCTAGCCCCGTCTAACCGGAAGAGAGACCAGAGGGCCTCTGGCAGGCCTGGTTGACAGCCTCAGGTAGAGTGCTGAGGCAAAAGCCACAAAGGGTCTGAGTCCAAGAACCGCAGTCCAGACTCAATTTATGTATCAGGAAGAGAAAGGGAGTGGGTAAGAAGAGAGGGAGAGAATCTGGGGAAAAGAAGGTGGGTGAAAGAAGGGTGGAAAATGCAACTGCGTTTTCTGCTTCTACAGCTGAGCGTGCCTGGACACGTGTGTGTAATTTCACAGTTTGGGGACCCAGGTGCCTTCCGAAACTACGATCATTTTTTTATTAGGTGACCTACACAACAACAGAAATCATCGTTTTCTCCTGGTTGGGTGTGGGGTGCATTAGGCCTAGGACAAGCGTGCTAAGTTGGAACATTATCAAATCACAGCCTTGAAGAAAGAAAGTCAAGGCTCCCAGGGACCTGGGCTGACCCCTCAGTCCCTCCACGGAAGCCATTTTGCTGGAGGCGGGGCTGTGAACACAAGTGGAGCACTTGCGGTTGGGGAGCACAGGGTCAGGAAGAAAAAGTGAGCCCTGAGTGCTGCTCAAGCCGAACGAGTCCCAGAGAAGGTTCAATGCCCTCCTGGAAAAGCTTCGGTTTCTCTCTGACCCTTCTCAAAGGGGTCACTTTTGCCCCGAAGTAGCGCTAGTGGCTCCTCTCCTCCGAAAACCAAGGGCTTCCGCTGCTCTGCTCACGGCTACCAGCAGCCACCCACCCCCACTCCTTGAACTACGTGTGGCTGGGAACTGCACCCTCCCCCTTCTTTCCAGAGGAGTCCGCAGCTTCGCCCGAGGCCTCCAGGACCCGACTTACCCCGCCCCCGGGGTCATGCCATGTCCCAGGGGCCTTTGCAAGTTTGGAAGCTTGGTGGGAGCGGGTAAAGTCCACACCGAGGATGGGTGGGCGTCACTGCACTCCCCACCCCACCCCACACACTCGGCTCAGCTGGTTCTCCCGCCGCCTAGCCTTAACCCTCGCCTGCAAGGCCTGACCCCGATCCAGCCCTGACAGGCTAGGCTGGCTCATCCCAGAGCCCACCCGGACCCCGGGCGGGGTCCCAGTGGCAGCTCCCCGCCCCCCACCCCCGCAGCCCTGCGCGCCCGCCCTGCACGCCCTCTGACGCAAACGGCGCTCCCCTGCCCAGCGCCTGGGAAAGCGCTCTTGTTGGCTTTAATTGAGGCTCTTCCTTTCACATACATACCCTTGGTCCCCACCCCTGGGAAGCGACCCCCTCCCCGCCACCAGACCGCTAGCCGCGGCTCGAGGAATCTGGCTGGGCTGCAAGGCTGCAGATCCTGGTGCTCTGCCGCCGCCGCCGCCGCCGCCGCAGCAGCAGCAGCAGCAGCAGCAGCAGCTTCTCCACTTGGGAGAACGGTTTGATGTCCCTTTTAATCCGCTGACACTATCGCCCACATCAAACAGGCAGCCATCGATTGCGTTACACTAAGGGATCACATTACAAACGGCGCCCGCAGGTGGGCGGCAAGAGCCGAGCTCGCCAGGTCCTGGCCTCAGCCAGACAAGATGCGAGCACCAGAGCCAGCCCGCTGCACCGCAGCGAAGGCTCGGCACCGGCTAGGACGGCCAAGCTGGAGGGTCCACAGTCCCGCTTCCCCAGCGCCGGCAGCCGTTTCCCGCCGTAGCGGGGGCGGGGTAGTTTGGGAATAGCTGATCCAAATGGGAGAAACCTGTTTTGAATTTGAACTGACGGTGGACTGGCAGGATTCTTACCTCCTAGGAGGCGACTCGGCGGGACAGAGGCCAGGCAAGGGCAACTCCGGAACAGGCCCGGAGGAAAGTTCTCCTTTACCAGCCCTGGCTGCCTCGACTCGTGTCCCCCGCCTGCGTGAGAACCAAGACTGCCTCCCTGCCTGACCGTGTTACCAATCCCCAGTTCAAAAGAAATGATAATCATTGCGTTACTTGCCTGATGGGGTAGGACTTGGCCGAATCTCGCTTCTGGTGCCCACGACGCACAGTCCAGGGTTCGAGCGCGACTGGGCCTGCGGACCCGGCGTCCAGCAGGCCTCCGCTTCCCTGGCGCTGACTCCCGCTTCCTCTCCCACTTTCTCCTTTTCTCCGCGTTCTCTTTCCCTCTCACAGTCTCCCTCTCTATGCCTGCTCTCTCTGCTCTCCAACTCCCTGCCTCTAACTGGATGGGGATTTAATTTAAATTTCTACATGATTTTTTCTTTCTTTTTTTTCACTCTTCCTTTATTTCCTCCTTTTTTTTCCTTCTTTCTTTTCTTTTTTTCGGTCTATTTGAATCAGGTTCGTTTCATCTTTTAACTGGCCAGGAGCAGGAACACATTTATTTGGGCAAAGGGGCTAGGGCCAGGAGCCCCTGCCACCCCCGGTCGCCTCCTCTTCATCAGCTTCGTACAATGGGCTGCCGCAAGCGGAGCGCCTTGGCAGTCTCTCCATTATTCGAGCTGGAGGGGCTGCGGGGCAGACTGGAGAAAGCCTTTATTCTGCTCTTTAAAATCATCACTCGTCACTAAACGGTCTACGACTCGCGACTTCACAGACTAGAGAGACCGAGAAGCGCAAAACGTACCCCAAACGCGCAGTGCTTCCCAAACCCCTCCCTGGTGAAATTTAAAGTGAGAACGAGTATTAAAAAACAAACCCTACCTCTGTCAACACAGCGTGGTCATTTACTTCCACCTTTACCTGAGGGCCTGTTGGAACTCGGAACGCTCGAGCTGAGTCAAACTTTTACGCTCTCCCCAGTCGAGGGGTGGGCGGGAAAGCGCGGCTCCCACCCCTGGCGGCAGCAACGGCGGCTTTGTCACTCCGCTCCGCTCCGCGCCCGCCTGAGCCTGCCTAGGGGAGCGATCTCAAAACGAGGGGGGTGCGAGTGTGGGATTGGAGAATATGTAACTAATAGAAGTATCATTTTCTCCCAGTACGATCTTTCAAGGAAAAAAAATCCATTGAAAGAATTTTCAAAGTGCTGTCTTCGTTTGGAGAAAAGGCACAGGCTGCCTGTGGGGAGGGGAGGAGGGACTCGGCTATGTGCCGCCCGGGAACGGCTCCCGTCCGCTAGGTGGCAGCCGGAGCCAGCGATTCCTGCAGGCCCCGCGGCGGGACCCGCTCCTCCCGCCTGCCCCTCCTTTTGCGACCAATCACCTTCGGGAATCAGGGTCTTAGTATCTGCCCCCCCACACACCCCCACCCCTGCCTCCCTCTCCTTCTTGCTCTCCCTTCTCCTCCCCCTCTCCTCGTTCGTTTGCTCTTTTCCTGGGACTCCTGGCCGCTCTAACACCACCACCCCCAACAATATGATGACTTACTACTGTTTTATTAATAATTATTGACGCATTGTTTGGAGTTTGAAACAGCCTGGGATTTAAAAAAAAAAAGGATGAAGATGGAAACAACGGTTTGATTGGAAAGTTTATTTTAAAATCATCTTTGGGATGAATAGGAACCGTTGATTCGGATCGAATTTGTGGCCATAGCTGTAAATTTCACGAGTGTGCTTGGTCATAATTAAATCTTTAAAACCAAGATATACTTTGGATCAAAAAGTAGGATGACCCTACCTTTTTTCTTAAAAAAAAAAAAGTGCATAAAATGAGCAAAACACAGACTAGGATTTTGGTTATATGTAAAAGAAGAAAACAAACTAAATCCAGTATATTTCAGAAATTATTAAAATGATGAAGTTTTATTCCCATTAAATTTTTTCCTAACACTTTGAATGATTTTTCTCTTCACGTTCATGAAGTCTAACTCTAAAAACTTTTCAGAAGAAATAAAAATAATATCCTCATTCTCGTTTTTTTCCCATCATAAGACATTCTCCCCCTTCATCCCTTCCCCCTCTGTGTGTGTGTGTGTGTGTGTGTGTGTGTGTGTGTGTGTGTGTGACCATAGACGACCCATACTAATCAGGTCTCAGAGTAAATAGCAGCGCAGGGTGATCTCAATGTAAATTGCGCTTGTCAGAAGCACACCCCCTCCCTCACTTTCTCTCCTCCTCCCCTCGCTATCCCAGACTGTAGGTAGCTAAGAGGGAGGGGAGAGAAAGAGAAAAAAAAAAAAAAAGAAAGAAAGAAAAAGGGGAGGGGGAGGGGCTCTCTAGCCAATGGCGTGCAGGAGGCTTGGCTAACCTTAGCCTCCCATTTTCTCTCCCCCCCCATTCGGGGCTCTGACCAGTCAGTCGCCTTTGATTATCAGTTGCCAGCAGCCCTTCTCTTGGCTCCTTGACACGAGCTCCATATAAGGCAGCGATCTCCATAGAAACGTGTCAGTTTCAATAGTAGTGTCAAAGTTCACTATATACAGACATTCGCGCAGATCCCCCTTTCGGAAACATTGCTCTGCGAGTCCTCCCGTTTAAACGCATTCAATTTTTGGGTTCTCTCTCTCTCTCTCTCTCTCTCTCTCTCTCTCTCTCTCTGTCCCTCTCCTGCGTGCACTCTCTCTCTCTCTCTCTCTCCCCCCTCTCCCTCTTCTCTCTTGCTCTCGCTCTCTGTCTCTTTCTGTCTCTCCTAACGCCCTCTTTTTTCTCCTCTCTCCTCTCTCCCCTTTCTCTTTTCTTACATATTCTACTAGTTGTTTCCCCCTTCTTCTCCTTCTTTCTCTCATTTTTTCTCCCTCCTCCTTGTCTCTTTTACTCCATTCCTGCAGAAGAGAGAGGGCTAAACTTAAAAAAAAAAAAAAGGAAGAGGAGGAGGAGGCACCCCCTTCGTATTCTTCTTATCTTTATTTTATACATATATGATTTTTTTTGGAGGGAGGGTGTTGGTTCCCGGCTGAAGAGCACTTATTTAAAATACTAAAAAAAGAACATTTTTGGGCGATCTCCAGGGTTTTTTTAACTAGCTCTGTGTGTTATAGCAGAAGAAGCAGAAGAAGGAGCAAGAAAGAGGAAAAGAAGATTATTTATTCGACCTACTTTGGATGTCTCTCTTGCTTTTTCTTTTTCCTTTTTTTTGCAATTATTTTCTTCTGATTTTTATTTTTTTCTATTTCGCTGTGAATTCGTCGCCGGCGTGAATTATCTTGTATTTTTCTCCCCCTTCCGTCACCTCTTGAAAGAAGAAGGCAGCGAGAGCCCGGCGCCACCGGCACAACAAAAAGAGCAAAGTGTGTGATCTTCCTCGCCGGCTGCCTCCCGCTCTCCAGCGCTGCCTTCCTGAATGGCTGGCTGCGTCCGGCCCTGGACCTGGCCCCCCGACACCCGCGCTCCCTGATCGCCACCGGCAGCCTCGCCCGGCGTCCTGCTCGGCTCAGCCGGTTCCCAGCACTCCCGAGCCCCACGAGGGCTCCCACTGGGACAGCAGCGGCGGCGAGGGCGGTCCCGGCCTCGGCTCCCGCTCGGGCTACGGCCCCGACTCCAGCTCGGACTCCCGCCCGGGCCCGGGCTTCTCCAGCGGCGATCGCCGCAGCAGCTGAGGCGGTAGCTCCAGCGGCGCCTGCAGCCGCGACCTCCTCCTTTGCCGCCGCCGCCTCCGCCCTCGCCGGCTTCCTCTATGTCGGCTCAGCCCGCGCGCTGCGCGTAGCCCAAGCGG